CCTTGTCTGAATATTGGCTCAGAGGATACATCGGATTAACTAATGGGTAAAACATCATCCAAGGTCCAGTTCTACACTACCCCTCTGGGTTCTCCCAGTTAACAGGTTCTGATTCCCTGCACTGGTCTCTTTCCCAGAACTCACAGGTCAGGTAACGTCAGCTTCGTGTTAGCAGAGTTGGGGAGTATACCCCTTGGGCTGTTAGAACTAAGAGTTTGTCTCAACTGTTCTTGCTCCTGGGGAGGTCCCCTCTTTGTCATGTGTCCCTACACAGAACATGAGAAGATAGGAGGCGGGGCAGTGCTGGGCCTTGGTTCATCATGCCTCAACCCCCCACTCCAGAAGCCAGAGAGTCTAGCCTTTTTCTCTTAGTGATGCCGTGAGCCCTTCTCCTCCTCTTGCCTTCTTGGTCCTTGGCTGAGTGGATGGTAGTGGACTCCTTCTATAGAAATCAGGCCTGCAGGGTTCCTTTAAGGTTAGGGCCAGCTGTCTCTGGAGACTGAGGTTGGGGAAGGCAGGGGGAGTCACTCCTTGCTGTCTTTCATGTTCTTGTGCTGTCCCTTTTGCGCTGGGTTGATGAAAGCCTAGCCCCGTGGGTGTGAGGTTGTTCCGAAGCTCAACACTGATTATTCGAGGAAATTGCCATGGGCCTTCCTTGTATGAACGTCAGGAGCCATGAGCTAGGGTCTGGTTCTGGAATGGAGGCTGCCGACATGGCTGTTGCACACAGATTATTCCTAGGACAGGCAGAGGAGTGCCCTGGAGTGCTTTGTACCTCCTTTACTTAAAGGGGTTTCTTTAGTCTTGAGCATTTACTTTAGAACGGGGCGTAGGAAGCAAAGGCTAGCTAGAAATAGCATCTACCACAGAGTCCTAACCGGAGTCTTCATGACAGTGACATGACAGTCATGCCACGTGACCAGTGACAACCTGGTCTTCTTGAGTTTCAGATTCAGTGAGCACAGACATGTCCCAGTGACAACCTGGTCTTCTTGAGTTTCAGATTCAGTGAGCACAGACATGTCCCAGTGAACCTGGTCTTCTTGAGTTTCCTATTACAGTGAGCACACACATGTCCCAGTGACAACCTGGCCACAGTGGCTTTGTCAGTGAGAGTGGCATGGAGAGATAATGGATGAGAAAACAACAACAAAAAACAAGAGTCCTTCCATCGTGTTGTTTAAAGATTCAGATTTGCTTAGATCTAATTTCTCATAATGATTTGGCTTCCTGGAGAAGGTAGGTAGAAATGGTCAGGAATGGATGTTTTTATCTTCTGGGACATAAGCGAACACCTGTTCCCTATACGGTGATGTTACCTGTTAGATCAGGCATTTGCCTGAGACGGGTCACCATAAAGAGTAAGTAGGGACCTGAAGCATATCCTCTACTCAGGATATGTACCGCGGGTTGATCGACTCTAGAACCGGGTTACTATCAAAATGGTGTCCATCAGTGTGGCTTCCTCTTGGAGAATAGTGCGTGGGAACTCCATCATCATTGGAGGCAGCGTTAAAGGAAAATGAGAACTTCGGCCTTATGAAAAGACAGGGCAGGATCGGGGAGGCATGTTGAACATGGAGAGGAGAAAGGCCTGTAGATTGACATTTTGGTCTAAATCTCTGCAGAGAGTGGTGACCATGGGTAAAGGGGGGGGGGGACAGTGACCTCATTCAGAGTTGTCATCTTGCTTTAGCTGGGAGTCTGTTGCCACAGGGGCTCTTCTGAAGACTGTGGCAGAATCTGCTGGTTGCTGGGTCTGTAGAACGCTCTTGCTTCTTCTCTGCCGCTTGAGTTTTCTCAGAAGTGGGAGAAGGCTCGGCTTCAGACCGTCTTCCTTGCTGTGTAAACAATCATTTTTAAGATTTTGTTTTAAATGAACAAGCTCCTTGTATAGGGCTCCCCTGAAGTCCCAGGCAGTCCTGTGAGGTTGCCCATCTTTCTCTTTTGAACTTTGTGTGCCTGGCCTTGCTCTCCCTGCCAATGAAGCCTGACCCTTGTCCTCTGCTACATGTGGACTCACATGGGTGCCATGCTGGTCTCTGGGAACCTGTGTGGGGCACTGAGTTAGTAGGTCAGTTTCAGGGCAGTGTGCTTCCCCTGGGAATTGGGCAAGACACAGCACCAGTCTCACCAAAGACTTGAAAAGTCAGAGTGGCTGAAATGGTTCTGAGGAGAGGCTTCTGGTGGACTTCTAGAAGTTTCTTTCACACAAAGAAAGGAAAAATATGGGTCCTGTGGATTTGAAGGTTTTAAAATGAAAAGATTGCTGGGTTGAGTCTGCTGTATCATATAGTCTGATGGCCTGGGTGTCCCAGTATATCACAATACATGGTGACAAGCAGATCATGGCCCAGGAAAATAATAATAGTGTCCCTTATAAGAACTCTTTGGAGGCCAGGTCAAAAGGATATGGATAAAGACTTTTGAGTAATAAAAGCTTATCTCTACCTAAAATTTTAGTTAATAAGCTGTATAATTTTACAAATTAGAAAGAATTTGATTGGTGGGCGTGGTGGCGCACACCGATGATCCCAGCACTTGAGAGGCAGAGGCCGGCAGATCTTTGAGAATTCAAGACCAACCTGATCTACACATCAAGTTACAGGCTTATCAGGGCTACAGAGTGAGACGCTGCCTCAAGAAAATAAAATAAACTTCAAGCTGTTATGACAACATGACTTGTTAAGTGTCTTTAAGCCAGCCTGGGCTAGGTCAGGATAAGAGTGTGGATCTTGCATTTGTGTGCTAGGTATTCCTACTTATACCCTGTTATACTTAGGCAGGAAACATCACCTTTTACATGGAGCCAGTCTGGTTGGCAACTACAAGAAAACCCACTTTCAGCAATTGCTGAGCAAATCTCCTCATATCCAGGGAAAAGGCAATGCTGTTACTTAGGAGTGTTCACTGGGGTGAGAGATTTGATCTGGAACCCTTGAGGGAGGATCGAAGGAAGGCTGGTGAAGAGTATCCCCCAGATCTGAAGACTGAGCATTCCACGGTCCTTTGGGAAAACAAAGCCACATGGGATGTGTCCTCCCATGCTCCTAGGCATGGGTACCCATGGAAGTTAACAAAACACAACAGTGAAAAATCAGCTGAACCCAATTCATAGCCAAATTTCAGGAAAGTACCGGGGAATCTACCCTTGAAGAGACTTAGTGCTGTGTAGGTACCTCCTAGATATCATGTCTATGCAAGCGACAGGAGTGTGCCACTGCACTCGCTCCCCACACCACGTGTGTGTGTGTGTGTGTGTGTGTGTGTGTGTGTGTGCACGTGTGTGTGTGTGTGTGTGTGTGTGTGTATGATTCCTGGGTACCTACTTAAAAGCATACTTTGCCCCAAACACTATTAGGACATGCCCCAGTACCCTGACATTGTGAAATATAATCAGAGTAAAGAATGTTCAGTTAAAATGTTCTGTCCTCTTTCTCAATTTGGATAGATCAGCCACAGCCAAGAGTGAGATAACACGTGGGGGATGGGTGGGGCGCCCAGCAGTGTTGTGGGAGACCGTGTGTGTTTATGTGTTTGTGCTTGGGAAATCATTTGTCTTTGGCAAGGGGGAAGAGGAAGGCAGCAAACAGAACAATGTGATTGAGAAAGAGTTCTGCAAAGAGAACTGTCTGTGATCCCTATCAGAAGGCTGCACGCATGGTGTCGGGTGTTGTGTTGTCCTCTTGCTACGGTTGGCCCATTGTCTGGCACGCTACAGAGACTCTGCTGGGGTGCACTGAGTGATTTTAGCACCGGTGTGGGGGTCTGCAAGTAGGTATCAGTGTGTGCCTGGCCGCCATTGTGATATGGGCACTGCTAGTCTGAGCACGTACCACCCAGTTTTCTCAAGCATGGGCAGTGCCAGCTCCAAAGCCCACTGTGGTCTGAGCACACGACCATTCTGGACTAGCAATGGTCCAGGCTCTCAAAGAACTCAAGTCCTTACACCTGCCCCACTGCCCTCACATCCTGTCTCTGGCTGCCACTCTCTGCCCTGATCCTTAGTGACAGGAAAGACACAGATACTAGGGTAGCTGTACCTGGATCCTGGATCCAGCCATGACCATTGGCGCTTGAGAACAGGAGTGTGGTAGAGAGGGGCAGTCAGCATATGGGGCCAGCTCACATAGTACTCGGATCCCTCCCCACTGCTCCGCTCTCTGTTTTCTGGCCCACTGGGTTCCTTGTAGCTGACCAACCCCATTGCAAAGGGTCTGGAAAGAAACACCGCAGCAGGGAGTTAGGCTAAGAGGTAGCATTGTCTCGGAACCTGTAACCAGTTATTGCCAGGGTCATAACATGCCACTTCATAGAATCCTAATGGTGGGGAGTGAGATGGCATGCATGGAAGACCCTTGATAGGCTAAAGAACCTCATTCTAGATTGAAAGTATTCGGTGTCGCTAAATTCTTCTGTCTGTTGGGTGTGGGAGGTAGGTCATGGCTATTCAAAGGATGTCTGGATACTGAAAGAGAAGCATCCTTAGGCTTCTTGGGAAAGTTCCTGAACATTGGGAATGGGAAGAAAAATAAGACACTGTTGCAGCCTTCTGAGTCTAGCAGGTGGCAAGAGCTTGCTTGAATCAGGCCCAATTTAGTGTCTGTGTGTCTCTGTGTCTTTGTGGGGGGAGGGGTTGAGTTAGTGCTGCCTTGAGGTAACAAAGGCTAGGAGGGCTCCATCCATGATTGACGGTTAGCCCTCTGAACTCACATCTGATTTCTGAGTCGGAGTACCTGTGTTTAAAGTGATAAGAAGTACCCTGCACTTCTAGGAACAAGATTAGGAATGGCTACAAGAGTCCATGGACACTGGGGGCACAGGGAGACTATCCCACAATCAGGGTGAGATGAGACTCTTCTCTCCTCCTCACTGTGATCTCTTCCTGTTCCCACGGCTGGGAATGGCTGTGCAAGCCTGCAGATGTGTGTGGTGGTGGTGGGGAGCTGCCTTCTGTCCAGCTGGAGCAGCGGCGACCTGTCTTCTCCTCTCTTCTACAGGAAACTGCACAGCGGGATGAAGACGTACGGGTGTGAGCTCTGCGGAAAACGGTTCCTGGATAGTTTGCGACTGAGAATGCATTTACTGGCTCATTCAGGTAGGCAGGGCCTTCTTCCCTGGCCCCATGTTGGTACAGACAACTACCTCCTGTCCATTACCCCTCTCAGCTCGGAGCTGGCCATGGTCTGATTGTCTTCACTGCCAGCCAGGGCTTCGGTCCACCTTGTCCCTTGGATCTTCCTTCCAGTTTCACGGAACAGAAAAGCCACCCTGAGAATGTGCCCAATCAAAGAAACCCATCCTCGTGCTCTCCCCTGGGGTTCCCAGGCCATCACTGGTACCCATGCCCTGTGCGATCTACCTTCCAAAGCAGACTGCAGTTTCATTAGCAGAAACAGTTGTGGAATTAGGTTCTTGCTGTCTAATGAATCTGACTATTGGGCTCACATTATACAAGAGCCTTTAATTAAATAGATATAGAAAGGTTGGAACTCAAAGCTACTTATAGCGTGCTGTCTTTTGCAAGTTAATTTTATCCAATTCTAGTGCGGTTGACTATGTGGCTGCTCGTAATTTCGTTCATGTTTGGGCAAAACTGTTCTGCCCCACGAGGTGTGTGAAAAGGGGAGAAGCCCTTGACACCCTGCGTGCCTGGTGGGGTGGGTACAGGGAAGGCGCCTGCAGATCTGACGCTGCAACCTTTGAGCTGAGGGCACAGCCTGCCTGTTACTGTAAAGGCTGGAACTGCCCTGCCAGTTCTCCTCTTCCTAGCAGCTTTGCCTTTAAACCTTGCACTCATATTTTCGGGGAGAAAAGAAGGCTGTCTGCTTTGGTCTTGCTCCCCTTATGTGGGTGCCTACCAGTAGCTGCCTCTGCTTTGGCCATATTGCCTCAGCAATATGTCCTCCCAGAGTTTTAACACGTGATCCATCCCTTCCCGTGACAAGACACTAGCTACGTGACTTTGGCCAAATTCATCCTCTCTCTCTCTCTCTCTCTCTCTCTCTCTCTCTCTCTCTCTCTCTCTCTCTCTCGTGCTTCCCCCACATAGAAGTGATTTTTTTTTTCTGTTTTGAGAATTAGGTGACATAATACTAAATGTCTCCACAGAAAGTTCCCTGGCTCGCAGCTGGCGATTCACAGATATCATGGTCCCTACCTAGACCTCTTTCCTTCTTCCTTATCTGGAAGCTGTCACCCCAGGGCATGCCTCATCACCTCACCCCAGATGCTGCCTGCCTGGTGGGCTGTCTGCGTACTATTCCTCCCCCAATTTGTTGGGTGGATGATGGTGTAAGTTCTCATTGGCAGCTTTGTAGTACCCCACAGAAACTTTGCTGCGTAGCCCACGTGATTCTACTTACTCATTGCTTATCAGATGCTTTGTTCTGTTCACCCCTTTCTGTCTGCGTAACAGAGAACTTCTCCCGTCTTTCCAGGTTTTTCCAGACCCCTTTCAAAATGAGACCACCGTTGACCACTCCTGACTTGTAGTCAGAAGTAATCATGCCTTCCTCTGGTGCCCGTGTTTCTGTATCTGATGCTGTCCTTGAGCACAATCTTCCCCGTGTTATATTTCTGGGCTTGCGTTATCCCCCCATCTTGAAAGGCAGGAAGATGCAGCCTAAGAAACTCGGTCACCTGCCTCCTGATGAGGTGACTTGGCCTTTCTGAGTCTCCTCACCCTTGTCCATAAAGCAGGAATGTTGAACTCGGAGACCTTGTAGGCTCACACAGCCTCTTTCCCACTATGCCCATGTGTGGCAGGCGCCTGGTAGGTACAACCTCTTCATTCTCCTTACCAGACAGCAAAGTGGTATGGCACAGGATTGGGCCTGTGTTATGTGTAGAACATTGCCTGCCATCAGCAACTACTTATTGAATGAAGGAATATAGCTTGGGCATCTGATGAACCACTCAAGAGGACTCTAAGGTCCTGGCTGGTCTCGCCAACAGCAGAAATCCTTTCATGGCTGAGGGGCTTGATGGAATGGGGACACACTTAACCTCCTGGCCCTCATCCAGGCAGTGGGCACAGGCGTGACTTGGCTACCATCTCTGCTGTAAAAGTCATGTCTGCAGTTGGTGGGTGTGGCTGAGGCATGCCGAGAGCTGCTGAGCTCTTATTGTTAGGTGGGTTTGGTGCCCCCAGTTGTGACAAGATAGTGGCTTTGCATCACTTCACTGTAAGCCGGTGGGTGGGCGGGTCCCTGGGGGGAGTCCCTGGGGGGAGTCACTTTCGTCCTATCAGAGGTACCACGTCAGGGTCCCATAGACTTATTTGTATGCTTCCTAAGCTTCAAGAAGTGGGCTGTGCTTCCTTACTTTCCCAATTCAGTGCTGATGTATTGGCCACTGAAGCCTGGCTGTATTACATGTCTGGCCCCTCTGAAATCCACTTGCCAATGCCCTTGTGAAGGAGGACTTGGCGATGAGTCACCATTTTGTTTGAATTCACCCTCGCATACAGCTAGCCTGCAGAGTCTGAGACTCCCAGTCTTTCCCTTTTTGTCCTGCACAGGGGTGTCTTGACATTCACGTAGCCCCAAAGGGCAGCGAGGCTAGACCACTTCTCCCTTTGCTCCCTGCAGAGACCTGAGCTTGCTGCAGGTTAGGGCTTGGCTGAGGGGTTCCCAGACTTGTAGCAACCCCTACACCAGCTAAGAGAACCCTATTGCTCTAGAGGAGATTTGTTTTATGCTGGGCTTGGTGATCTATACCTATAATCTCAGCACCTGGGAAGTAGAGGGAAGGGGCTCAGGAACTCAAGGCCTGCTACAGCTACATAGCAAATTCAAGGCCAGCCTGGGCTACATGCTACCCTGTCTTAAAAAAACAAAAGACAAGTTTTTGTCTGTCTGTCTGTCTGTCTATTTTTCTATCTATCTATCTATCTATCTATCTATCTATCTATCTATCTATCTATCTATCTATCTTGATACACACACAATGGCTGGCCTGGAACATGCTATAGATAGCGCATATTTTTTGCTTCTCTGGTTTGAAGACTCTGTGTTAGGGGAGGTGACAGTGAGGCCAGCCTAAGGATCTATAGTGCAGACACATTTTTTTTTAGAGGGTAAAGGATTGGAATTGGGAAGATCAGTAGTTGCCCAGGGCTTGGGGAACCTGTTTTTGTCTTTTTTTTCTTTTTTAAAGAACATGCTGTGAAGAAAAGAACTCCAGCCTGGGTCCTGGTTGCTCCCTCAGCGTTGCCCTTGCCAGGCTTATCCCGGCTGTCTCTTCTGCTCCACCGAGCTGCACGCCTCTCCCTTCCTCCCTTGCTTGCTGGTGCTGGCCGCCCCACCCCCTCTTGGCTAGCACAGCCTGTGTTTGTTATTGTAGTCCTGGCGCTGAGCCAGGGCTGGCTGGGAGCCAGGCTTGTGGGTACAGTATGTACAGTGAGTGCTCTGCCAAGTTTGTCATCATACGCGATTATTTTTTTTTCTAATCTGGAAGGGGTGGGGTGAAAACAAGGGTTTGTGCGATGCCGGAGGAGAGGGTGCACTGAATTCCATGTTGTTTCTGTAAGGAAGGCACTCCAGGCACGCTCACCTTACCCCTTCTGCGCTTTTCCTTTAGCCGTCCTCTCCCCTTCACTTCCCTATCAGATGAAGTCAGCCTGTAGGAGACCGACAAGGCAAGCTCTTATTTGCAGTGACTGGAATACTAAATTTACACTCTTAAATCAGTTTTCATTGTGTTGAAATTGACAATTTGTTTAATTAGAAGTTTGCCCTGTAGGAGGCCCTTCTGAGAGCCTGCTATTTCTCCCCTCCCCTTCTTACTTTCTCTTTTTTAGTTGTGTTGTGTTTTCCTTTTTTTTTTAGACCCTAAATGGTGGTAGTAATGTTTGGTTTAATTGAAGTTTCTATTCCGATTTGAATGCGTTAACTACCCAAATGTTTATGAGATATACCTGATAATAACAATAAGTTTAAATTAACCACCAACAACATAACTCGTTAACTAATGAGTGATCTGGCCGAGTTCTGGATTTTAGAGATGGTTTTCGGGATCAGAAAGGCTTGAGGATTAGGGGTGTGGCTCATTGAGGGAAGAGCAATAACTTTATTCAAGTTTCTGCCAAATTTGGGGTCGGGTTGGGGCAGGGAGCGGAATACCCTTCAGCCCATCACCCATGTCCAGAGATGACCCTGAGGTCTCGTTTATTGCCTCGTTCCCGTGGAGATCAGGCCCGGAAGCATTTATGGGTCCCCAACTCTTTGCCTTTCCTTTTTCTAAAGAGATGATTTCCAGTTGGGATGTGGGGCTAGACAGACCACAGACCATAGGCTGTGGCTCAGTGGGTTCTGAACTTGCCACACCCTGGCATGACATACTGCAGGCTTAGAAGCACACTGCAACTCCTTGCCCTATTTTGGACAAGGCTGTTTACTGGGAGGGGTCCGAGTGTCTAGATGGTCAGGTCCCATTCTGAGGGTATCATTCACTTTTGGAACGAGTGCGTGTTTAATAAGCACTAATTACGAGTGAGGTCGAGCGCCTTTGACAGTGATGGATGTCAGCGCACGCTTCCCCTCCAGGAACTTGGTCTAGTAGGAGACATCAGGTCGGTTATAAACCAGTGGTGAAAGAATAGTACTGAGTGTCAAGAAGGACGTATAGGAGAGGTTCAGAAGATGTGGACCCCAAATGGAAGCAAGAACAGTGCTCTGGAGGGATCACGGGAGGCCTGACTGTGGGGAGAACAGTGTTGCTTGGAGAGGAGTATGTGGGTAGAGTGTAGGTGGTGGGGACAGAGGAAGGCGTGCAGGGCCTAGCACGGGGATGAGGCAAGACTGTGGAAGGCATGCAGGGGCAAAATGATTTGTAACTCCCAAGCCCTGGAGAGCCACTAACATACAGAGAAGGGAGCAACCTTGTTTTCCCTCAAGGGACTGTTGAGCTTTGGCTATCAGTTGTGTTTTCCCTCAAGGGACTGTTGAGCTTTGGCTATCAGTTGGCCCCCTCGATAGTCAAGACAGGTAGTCCATGTTGGACATGGCTGCAGTGTGGAATCCCAGGCTTCCTACCCTAGGGTAAGCTGTCAGGGTGGGAATGCCTCACACACGCCTTCCCTGCTTGCACTGGTGC